CGGGCGAGGAGGCCGGGCCGCGGCCCAGGGCCCCGGGCGCGCTTCCGCCGGCCGCGCCGCGCACGCCGCGGTAAATGGGAGGCTTGGCCCGCAGGGGCGGGGGCCGCGCAGCCGGGGACTTTCAGGAACTGCAGGAGCGGGCGGCGGCTGGAGTCGCCAAGCGCCCAGCGGTGCGGCCTGAGCGCCGAGACTCCCGGCCGAGGCGGAGCCGCCGCCCCCGCGCCGGGCCCAGCTGTAGCCGCCGCCCTCGTCCTCGCCCTCCTGGCTCGGGCCGACCAGTCGCGGCGCGGGAGAGGAGCCGGCCGTCCCGGGCCGGGGGACTCGCCTGCCATGGCCACCAAGGTGAGGGGCGCGCGGCGCAGGCCCGGCCGCCCTCTCGGCCCCGCGGCGGCACGGGGAGGGTCCGGGTCCGGGTCAGGGGCTGGTGGCGGCGCCGGGCAGGCCAGGGGCAGCACCGCGCCCTCGGTGGGGCCCCCGGGCTGTCCCGCGGCCCGGCCGGTCCCCTGCGGGTGTGGGTGCGGCCGGGGTCGCGCGTAGCGTGGGCGGGGGTCATCGGGGGCTGGGCTCCGGCGCGGGTCGGGACCCCGGCCCGGCGTCATTTGCAAAGTTTGCACTGGAGTGTGGACTGCGGGCGGACTCACCGGGAGGAGCCGCGGAGGCTGGACGGAAAGTTCCCGCAGCCCCGGGAGGGACGGGGGAGCCGCTGGGTCCCCGAGGCGACTGCGCTCCTTGGAGTCCGGCTTCCCTGCGGCCCCCACGGCTCCTCCCTCTGCCGGCGGGACCCTAGGCCCGCGGGTTGGGTCGGGGGGCGAGGGGACGCGGCACTTTGGACCTGGCCTGCGGGAGATCGCTGCCTATCCCGGGGAGGAGGGACTCGGCTGCAGCACCCCGCGCTCCGCTGCCTTCGCTTTTCTTATTTTTTTTCTCTTGTTTTGCTACCTTTTCGGTTTGAATGGCATTACCAGCATGAATAAAATATCAAGAGGGAAATGACTGTGCTTTCGATTACGTGTTCGCCTGAGAAAAGGCCCAGGCCCGAATTACGTGGTGGAACTTTGACTCCTATTTGGTAATTGGCTAGGAGAGGTGGTTTGCTTATTTTAATGAAATTAGTAGTTCCCCTTTAATACTTGAGTCTTCAAAAGCCACTCTCCCGCTCTCTCTTCGTGAGCATTTTCTATAGTTACTTGATGTAAAAAAAGTCACTGAGAAAGGCACGATCGCGGAATGAAGACCTGGGGTTGGAGCTCTTGATTGATCTGTGAGGTGGTTGGTGTGAAGAGTGGATTTACTTTTTCATATACTTTTTGTAATGCCACTTTTATAAACATCAGCATCCTTTTCAATATTTGTTTTTGAGATCTCTAAGCTACTTTTCAGTTGATGAAGACCTTAATTTGTTGTTGTTGGTCATGGATGTGTGTTTTTGGTGGAGGGATAATTTGGAAAAGTGTAAGAAATTTGAAATCCCGTTGAAAAGTCAGAATTGTCCAATTTCATTTCGGTCTGCTAAGTTTTGAGCTCTGATAAATTTTGTGCTCTGAATCCTAGTTGCAGTGTTTATATAGAAATGGGAGGTTCTCCTTCAGGGAACCTGTTACTACTCTTACTGAAATATCTTCTTAATATATATTAACGGCTATTGCTTGGTTTTACTAGATGTGATAAAACTTTGTACCTTATTAACACATGTTAATTTTTTGTTGACCTTTTTAAAAATTAAGCCAGGAATTTTTAAGGAAATTTGATTTTGAAGTTTGTTTCCTAATGTTCTAGAAACTACCAGTTAGACATGCTAGGACATATTCATCTTCCAGCCTTAAAAGTGGTTTGTGACATAGAGATCTGTTCAGTAGTGGTCAGTGTTGTGGTATTTTCCATTCTGTTCTGCGGAAGCACGTTTCCTGCACTGTCCTTTACCCTTAAGTGGAATACTATTTAGCAACTAGTGGGGAGGACACATGATGAAATTTTTGATAGTTAAGCCTGAACTTTAATTTTTTTAAAAAATTGAACGTGACAGTGGTTGTAGTAAACGTGAATCTCTTGGGTCTTCCCTAAAGATAAGCTTTAAAGCATATGTAAGAGCTTCCTACTTTGTTATATATATACCACTCTGAAGGTGAACCAGAAATTCTGGCTGTTCTTTTCTTTCAGCTTTCTGATCCTTCTTCCAAATGATACTCATTTCCATGTTTACCTTGTGACTTACTACTTCCATTTTAAGAAGAAGAAGAGCAATGAAGCGCTTATTTAAAAAGGACCCTTCCTCAGCTGTTTGGTTTTCTGATTTCCGGGTGATTCTTGTGTCAGACTAGAGTCTCCTGTTTGTGTGTGTGTTTTTAATTGTTCCCAAGAGAGTACAGTTGTCATTATTGCTTCTCCCAAAGTCCCCATACACACACACCCTGGCCTTCCCCACATCTCAGTAGTTTGATTCTTTCTTCCTGTTCTTTAATGGGTAGGTGGGGAGAATGTACTAAGTAAAACCTGCTAACTTTTAATGAAATTTTAGGCTCTAGTGGCCCTCAAGTTCTTGCTATAAGCTCTAAGTGATGATAAATATATTCACTATCTGGATATATTAAATATGTTGAGTTTCCCTTTGAATTTATCAGAGAATGGCTTTAGTTCTCTCCAGATACAATTTTCTTGTTTCTTCTTAACATATTTTCTTGAAAATGCAATCATCTCTGAACTGTCATGATTTTTAGAAATTCCACTGGTATATTCACAATGGAAAAAATATTTTTTAAAGGAAGAACTTTAATTGGGCAATTCTTAACTAGTAAAGAAAGTTAATTAGTAACTGCACATTTTAAATGGATTATCTGTGCTGTTTCTAATCCTTAGTAGAAAACTGAATTCAGTTTAAGTGCATGCCCTCAGTCCAGTCATGTCTTAATTTACAAATAAATGGAGAAAAAGGCAACATGAGTGCTTTAGTCTTGACCTCTATTGGAAACCTTTGAAGTTTATCATATTTTGTTATAATCCTATGGGAGACTTGAGTAGATTAAGTTTTATTTAAAACTAAGTTTGGGAAAAGAAATTAAGAAATTTTTGTTCTCAATGTATATCAAAAGGGACATGAAGAAAATAGCGGAAGTTAGTTCATATCTATAGAATTTAGCTGTTAATTCCATGTCAGAATTAACCTTTGGTAACTAATTTAGGTCCTTTTATGCTTACATAATCACTTTTAGGAGTAGTCATGATATCAAGATTCCAGGAGTTCCTGATTTTTTTCTTTTTTAACTTTTCAGCTCCAGTATCTGTGTGCGTGTGTGTTTTATCCAGCTTGTCTGGTTGAATTAGTTGGGTGTAGAATGTTAGAAATCCTGGTAGGGACTGAGTGAATTCTTTAGGCCTTCTGTGACGTAGATGAGTGAGAACCGTTTAGAAAGCATACTTCATAGTCTCTCCTGAGCAGAAACCTCTTTATTTGAGGAAAAGAATAGAAACGTCTTTCTAAAAGGTTCTAAGGTTTGTTTTTTTTTTTTGAGATGGAGCCTCAAGCTATCCCCCTGGGTAGAGTGCCATGGCATCACGCTCACAGCAACCTCCAACTCCTGGGCTCAAGCGAGTCTCCTGTCTCAGCCTCCCAAGTAGCTGGGACTACAGGCGCCCGCCACAACGCCCGGCCATTTTTTGGTTGCAGCCATCATTGTTGTTTGGCGGGCCCGGGCTGGGGATTCGAACCCACCACCTTAGGTGTATGTGGCTGGCGCTTTAGCCGCTTGAGCCACAGGCGCCGAGCCGGTTCTAAGGATTAAAGTTGATTTGTATCATTTTTAGAAAACAATATGGAAAGTGCTGAAGTGTCTTAAATAGAACACATAATATTTTTGAAGTCAGAAAAATTTTGTGACAGTAGAAAGATGAATTTCTCATTGAGGAAGTAGATTAGAAACCATAGAAATTTTGCAGAGTTTTCTACTATGCTGTTTAATATATTGACCATCTGAAAATTATAGTTGTACCTTAATCGCCCACTTAAAACTTTGTAGATTTGCATATGCAGTTTATTTTCTGGAATGATGTTCTGTCCTCCTCTCCAGGCACCTCCTTTTTACATGTTAGGTTTTAATGTGTCAAACGATCACTGGCCCAGGAAAGCCTTTCCTGACGGCCCTGACTCTTGCTACAGGGTCACATCATCCCTCCTGAGAGCCATTTGTTGCTGTGACCAATGGCCATCTCCTGAGGGTGCCATAAAATTCATTGCAAAAATGAATTCAGAAGGCTGGGACCGTGTGGTTTTGTTCAACTTTATATCTAAAGTGACCAGTTTGAAAGAGCAAAATGGTAATCCAGTGAGATAAGGGATTCACTTAAAGAAAGCTCCATAACCTCCAACTGTAAGCTTTCATTCTTTAAATGGTACATAGTAAACATTTTTTAAAAATACAGGTACAATGCAAAATTTACATCTGCCTTAGGTATTAGCAGTGTTTTTAAAATACAGTAGAACCTCTGTAAGTTGACCACCCAAGGGACTATAACAAAACTGGTCCATATACAGAGCTGGTCAATGTAAGGAACTGGGCCTATTGTACTGATATAGGTACATGTGGTGTACATGTCCAGTCTATGAAAATTAGGTCAACTTACGGAGTCAGTGTAGGAAGGTGGTCAACTATGGAGTTCTACTCTATAATAATTCAGTTTTACTGATTACATAAGGTATTGGTTCTTACGTTTTAAGGTAATTGGAACAAGTTTCATATTTCTGAGACTTCAAAAAGAGTTGTCTTTAACCCGTGAGTTATTGGAAGTGTGTTTAATTTCCCAATGTGTAAGTTTTTTCTATTTATCTTTTTTTTTTTTTTTTTTTGAGACAGAGTCTCACTTTGTTACCCTTCGTAGAGTGCCCTGGAGTCGTACCTCACAGCAACCTCAAAATCTTGGGTTTAAGCAATTCTCTTGCCTCAGCCTCCCGAGTAGCTGGGACTACAGGTGCCCACGACAATGCTCAACTATTTTTTAGAGATGGGGGTCCAACTCTTGCACAGGCTGGTCTCAAACCTCTGAGTGCAAGCAATACCCGCCTCAGCCTCCCAGAGTGCTAGGATTACAGGCATGAGCCACTGTGCCCAGCCCCCTGTTTATCTTTTTATTGATGATTTCTAACTTTATTGTGTTGTGATCAAGGAATCTAATTAATAATCAGTATTGTTCCTGGGAATTTGTTAAGCCTGTATCTAGCAAAGAGTCAGTTTTCATGAATGTTCCATCTGTGCATAAAAAGAATATGTATATTCATTTGTGTATGTGTGTGTGTATGCTATGTGAGGTCTGGCAATTAAGTTAGCGAATTCAGCCTAGAAAAAGTGATGCAT